TTGTCTTCACAGACCATATTTTTAGCTGTCTGTCATCAACCATGTGTCAAAATATTTGCCATATGACCTGTCGTAGTTAAATGTTGTTTTCACTGCTAACCGTCTGGTTCTCGGTTGTTTTTTGTTTGTTTTTTGGGGTTTTTTTTAGAAATAAAATATTCACTCTTTCTTACGGGTGTTTATTGGTATGTCATTCAGTCTATTCATTAACTCTTCTTATTATTTATCAGGAGTTTGTCGGTATATTCAGCCTCCTTATTACTTCCAGTAACAAATAGTGTCACATTACAACGCTGACAGAAGTACCACTCGGAGCCTATTGACTCCCGTCAATTAAGACGGCAATTTCCGTTTATTTATTTTTTATTTAGCAACTTTTACATTATTTTTGTATGGATGTTGAAAAAGAAAATAATTCTGAATTGCCGCCTTTGACTCGCTACTCTTTTCTATTGGAAGTGTAATATGATATTTGATAAATCAATAACTCTTAAATTCGGTTTGATAGAATAAAACTTACTGAGTATAAATAAATATTTTATGACATCAAATGAGTATGAAAATAATTAAAAAAATAAAACCAATAAATTAAACTAAAAAGTATCATTTCACTAAGTTTTAATTCATTTCTTTTTTATACTTCTAATGTAGTATAAAAATTGAATTATTTATTCATAAAATAAGTTTCATAAAATCGTATTGAATAAAAATTATATTATTAAATTATTGGCTATATAAAGTTAAAGATAATTTATTTTTAAACATAAATGCAAATTTCTTGAGTATTGCACTGTTGGTGTTCTGCATTTCTTTAATTTATTTTTCTCATTTTTCGCGCGTTTTTAAGTCAGGGATTGCAGAACAAAATACTATTGGTGACCTATGACATCACAGGCTACCGTGCGTAAATAAGTATCATTGTGTTGAAGAGAAAGTGAGCATTACTTTTACAAAAACAAGTTAATTAGTCTTTAAATTTACTGATTTTGAAATGCATAAAATAACTTTTTTTAATATAGATAACTTTTAAGTTATTATATTTCAAATAAAATCAGTATTTAACTTCATAGAAGACATTTAAATGATTTAAAATGCGTTTTTCGGAGTTTTTTTTTTTTTAATCTCCAGCTATTTGCTATTCACCGGTTTATTCAAAATTTAAGCTTCAGATCAACAACAGATGGGAAAAGAAAGATTATGTTACGCCAATATTCCAAGTGAGGAAAGTCTGCCTTCTTAGAAAATCAGCATTTGAAATTTTGATTTTTTTCTTGGCTCGAACACTAACCTCTGGTACCAGTAGGAAGTGCATTCTGTGTTTTGTTTGAACACATCAAGTCTAGCATGACGTCACAAATTAAGTCTTAAAAGAATGAAAGTCTTCGTTAAAAATGAAAGACATTTGGAGAAGATGGTAACGATTTCTCCGTTAAAAGTTTGTAACTCCTTATTTAAAACTTTGTAAATGTTTTAAAGTATTTTGCCATCGGGACATTCAGAGCACTTGTGAAAAATGAAAAGCGGGAAGTATTGGCTCGGGCCCTTGATAGTTTATAATATTGATGTTTCTAAGAAACCAAAATAAAAGAATGACTTAATATTAATATTGGAGTTTATGAAAAATATAGGTTATCTCCAAATGGTTAAGACCCCTGATAGGGAAGATGAGTCCATTTATCAGATAATAATGGGTAATACCGAAATTTAGGCCCCAAATGGATTTTAGGCGCCAAATGTGAAAGGCTTGAAGACCACCGAGGTGAAAGGACGCGTTTTGCCTACTCCAAAGGGCAGGAGAATTTTTTTTAAGAAAAAAAAGGACAGATTTGAAAACTAGAGGCATCGAGAGGAGAAAAGTCTGCTGTCTTTTTATAGATAAAAAAATTGTCTTTGCCGTTAAGTGAAATTAATCTGGACAGGTGGTGTCCAAATAATTAAAAATATTTTTGCCTTCAGAGTTAAGTGAAATTAATCCGGACACGTGGCGTCCAAAATATAATTTAATAAATAATAATAATTTTAATTTATTATCCATTTCAAGATGGATAATTACAAGGAGTTAAAAGGGGTTAAAGCCATTATTGACTCTAAGAACATTTCAAAAAAATATTATTAAATGAAGTTTGGAATTGCTAGAGTATGATAAGAACTTAAAGGAAAAATCTTTAAAAGGAAATCATCTTTTAAAGCCATCATCAAACATCTTTAGGGAGAAATGTAAGTTTTGGACGGTAAAATCCAGATTTGTATCAAAGCTTTACTAGATTTAGAGGAAAGTGGTTTTATGAGAGAATAAAGGAATTTGGTTTTCGAGTCAGTTTCAATAATCGGTTTGATGATATTGAGAAATCTGTTCGAGAAATGAATATTTCCCACGACAACGAAACCAATTCTTTATTCAACATCCATTCAATGATCTCAGCTCACACAGTCTACCTCTTTTAGCGGTATTAATCCTTCTACGGTTGAGTTCAATAATTTTATAGTACAACTGTACTAA